TTGTGTTTCTGCTATTGAATATTTATTTCTTGATGCTTGTTACAGATTATTACACAGAAATATCAAAAACATAGTAGCTATAAACATTTTTTGTTGAAAAATTTTTAAAGAATCAAATTAATTTTAATCCTTAACAGAATGGCAAAATATAATCTTGGTGTATTTTTAATTTCCATTCTTCATAGACTTGTTTTTAAACTACTGCTTACAATGATAGGGTATAATTTAAGATCTTTGAGGGCACTGCTGTAGCATCACTTGAGAACAAGGGTTATGTGAAATTTTGTTTTTCTCCATCAGATAAAATACACACATTTACTAGAAAGACAAAATGGACCAGAAACTAAAGAAATCGTTTTTTCTGCATTAAACGAAGGTAAGTTTTAAAAGGAAAGATTGAGTAGTATTTGATGTCACCGATTCACTGATTTTGTATTTTACATCTTAGGTCATTATACTCTTATCTGTACCCTTTAAATAAGACTATTATGCTACTAATCAAATATTGAAATACATTGCTTAGTACAGTTAGTTAAAATGAGGAAGCAGAAACTTTTCAAACTCTATTTTGACATCTGTTAAGATATTCTTAAATCTAGTAAGCAAGCTATTGAATAGTGTAGGAAATATTCAGTAACTGTAAAATGTAAGCATAGTCTAGTATGTCTGAAAAATTTTTACTTCTGGAATTTTTGTTTAATGTGCAAAGACAGCATCTCACAATTAAACGATTTAGCAGGAATTGTTGGTATAGAGAATATATCCTGTGCATGATGTAAAAACATTATTTTGTGTTTCTGTTCAGTTTTTTATATATTTAATTTATACATTTTGAATATTTCATTAGATCTGTTGTAATTTAGTTGAGATTTTTGGTTATTTTTAATGCTAAAGCTGTTTAGGTGGTTTTTATTTGATTAAACATTTGGTTCAGATGAATTTTAAATTGCCATTCTAATCACATATGATTTGCCAATTCAGTTCTAAGGATACGTAGAATTATGTAATGAAATAATTGTGATTAATATATCGGGAACCTAATAATATATGATGTGTTGGGGTCAGAAGGCTGAATAATCACCAAATGTTTTTATTTTGAGAAGATGACATTTTGAGCTAGTGCTCATCGTCAGATCATGCAGCCTGTGTGGTTAACTATATACATTTGTTTTTAGAAGGCTGAACACAAACATAGCCATGAAAACTGATACAATAAGGTATGCAGTGATGGAACTATTGTCACTGTTTGATCACCAGGCTTATTGGTGTTACCTAAACATTTTAGAACAGCAGAAGTCTTTAGACTTTCTACAATCTTAAGATATACCAATTAACATAAAATCTTTCAACGTAATGGACCAGTCTCTATTTGAACACACAAAAATGTTTATTGCTTATTACATTCGTTTATGGTATCTACAAGTATCTGCTTTGCTGTATAATTACTTTAACACACACACACACACACACAAAAGTTTTTTTAATTCTTATTCACTGATTCAAACATTGTATATATATATTTTAATGTTTGTTGATTTTAACAGTGTTTTATGAACTTTTGAAGTATGATCTAGTTCTAACAGTTAAACTCTTTCAGTTCTAGAAGCTTCATCTTCTATCAGAGATCAAACCAAATATTAGCCTAAATTTGGAATGTCATCATTCTGGTTGTTTTATCTTAACTATTGAATTGATGGGAGCCCAAATGTTTCTGGGATTTTTTATTGAGTTATTAAGAAATTTTAAAAGCTTAAGTTTCCAGAGTTGCCATGCTTTCATTACTGAACAAATAGCAATCAAAATCCTATCTATAAGTGGATTTGCATAATTTATTTAATAGATATTGAAGCTTGCGAACTAATTCTGTTATTAGTGTTAATTGTTTGACGGATGTCTTTTATTTTCAACATTCTTGTTTAATATATATATACTTATTGTTTTCGATGTTAGTGTGTTTTGCTATGCAGAGTAAAATTTCTTTGAAATTATTATCTAAAAAAATGTTTTCACCTCTTAACTTTAGCCACCCAGCTTGCTAATACGCTTTATGCAACTGGTACCAACCTAAGTCGTAGTGTGAGTAGTGCCGGAGAACATCAGAGTGAGGCTTACTATTCGCCCGTTTTACCAAAACGGGCAGAAACATTTGGTGGATTTGATAATCCTAACAAAGAACAAAATAACTCCAACAAAAGTACTGGTAAGGTGTTTAAAACTATACTTTGTTTTGCAGATATCCAGCTCCTTATTCTGCAGTCTACTACAAGTAGCAACTTCTGATAGTTAATTACAAGTTGCTTATGTAGAATTATACACGGACTTTTCCGTACATTAAAATACTTTTATTTGCAAGCTTTCAGCCCTCTTACCAGAGCCTTCATCGGGCAACAATGTGCTGAGTGATATATATAAATTCGTGAAACTGTTGAACCGTACACCGTTCAGTCTACCCACAGATTTATGGTTTGCCCAATATACATAAACCTAACGTACCCATGCGACCTATTGTGTCTTACATGATTCACAAACTTACAAAACAGCCAAATCTATTTCTAGTGTGTTAAAACCTCTAATTCAATTAAAACCTCACAATAATTAATTAACCACGTTTCTGACCATATAATATCCAAAGACAATATTATGGTTAGCCTCGATGTACTTTCACTTTTCACCAAGATACCTGCTAAAGATACCATGGAAAAAACACACAAACAATTAAGTGACAACATTTCACTTCCAACAAGAACATCCATCAGCATCCCAAACATCGTGATTATGCTGGACATCTATCTTAATGCAAATTGCTTCCATTGGAATGACCAATTTTACGATATGTTTGATGGTACTCCAATGGATTCACCTTTATCACCTGTAGTAGCAGAAATATTCATGCAGCATTTTGAATTCACCATTTTAACACCATATGTTCTTTAACCTTATATATGGGTAAGATATGTGGACGATACATTTATTTTATGGACCCATGGAGAGGAAGAGCTCAAAACCTTTCATGCTCATCTGAACAGCCAATTTAACAGCATACAATTTTCCATAGAACTTGAAGTCTACAACATTTCCATTCCTCGGTGTTCTGGTTCACAAGGACACGAGTTTGTAGAAGTTGACCACTACCATTTATCAGAAGAAGACTCAACTAGATAAATATCTGCATTTTCACTCATGCCATACAATAGCTGTAAAAACTGGGATTATCAAAACACTAAAATCTAGAGCTACAAGTACATACTCCTTATTCAGAAGAAGACTCAACTAGATAAATATCTGCATTTTCACTCATGCCATACAATAGCTGTAAAAACTGGGATTATCAAAACACTAAAATCTAGAGCTAAAAGTACATACTCCTTATTTTACCTAGAACTTAAACATCTTGAGATGATTTTCAGGAATAATGGTTATCCAATTAAAATGATTCACTATGTGTTATATGGTTCATCTGTTTTAGCTACTAATGAACCACAACCTGAAAATCACAATGAAAGGAAAATGGCATTTCTTCCTTACATACCAGACATAGGAGAAAACTTTGTAGGATAATGAATAAACGTAACATCACCGTAGTTTTCTTAAGTCTTCCTACACTACATGACGGAGGTAAAATCCCTACTTTTCAGTCCTCTCGCAAAGAATGGGGTTTAAACCACTAGGTGCGAGTGTAATAAACAATAAGTTGGGAAAACACAATGCCCATTACAAGTAAGGTTCAAAGAACACAAGAGATATTAAAAACTGTTATAAACACATCATTTATAGCTTTTCACATTCAGGAAAACAACCATATAATAGACCTAAAAAATGCCAAAATAATAGACAGAAAAAAAAAAAAAACTTAGAATAATCAAGGAAGCTATTGCCAACCAAGCACAATACAGTGGACTCACTAGTGGGTATTAATCAAAACAACGGCCAACAACTACTGTATTTTTCGGTGTATAAGACACACTTTTTTACCCCAAAATTTGATGTCAAAATCTGCTTGCGTCCTATACACTGAAGGTTTGAATAATATATATGTATATATACGATATACACAAGTCATGTGTAAATATATTTAAATAGGCATGCATAGTTTAGTTCAATTGAATGTGTTATTCATAATAATAGTAGTTTTTTTTCTTTTCAAAACATAACTATTTATAATGCTTCCTGAATAATAATAAAAAAATTACAGTGAAAGCAATGAAGATTTTGTAGATTTTGAACCAAACTAAATAACAGTAAACCTTTTTTTTG